GACGAATTAGGAGGTATTGATCATAGCCTGTTTTGTAGAGCGTCTTCTGCTGCATCTTTTTAGCATAGAGACAAATTTTTAAACATACGCTTTAATAATGAAAAATTCATTATACAAGTCGAGTCAGAACTTCTGGCCCACCCTTTATAAGGCACAAGAAATATCCTGTGAGCACGCGAGTATAAGTCAAGAGTCACAAACGCTGCGGACAAACTGGAACCGCCGCGGCACTCTCTGTTGCGTGGGTTCAAAAACAAGCTCACTCTTTGCTGGATGGTGTGAAAGAGTGTCCGAATCGATTTTTCACACGTGCGTCGAATAGCATCTTCAATTTCAACAACATCTGGATGAGTAGGTGAAAGTGAATGATGGAAGATCGTGGCTGCTTTCTGAACGTATTCGAGTGCCAGCTTTGTTTGTGTCTTCGTGCACGAGGCCAATATTCCTGTATGTGTTAGCGATAGAAGGATGAGTGAGTGGAAGAGACTTTGTCTTTATTCTCAATGAGTTTTCATAATTGGACAAGGCTATAGAGATGATTCACAAATGACGCTGATCAACATGATGATTAGTGTCACGCATTTGCGTTTGTCACACAAACCGTACGTCATTGCCCTCACTGGCTTAACATAGTTGCATATGCTCGATGCCTGACTGATCGTTTCCAAAACAATCATCTCTATTCGAAAAATTTATACTTAGTCATCGCAAGTTGTGATGACTAAGTATTTGAGACTTTACAGAATCTTCGATGGTTCAAAAAGCCTGTAAGCAGCTTTGTGTCACTGTGCACACTAGTATTTTATATGAAGTTAGTGGTGATACGGAGAACATCGCCGATTACAATAGGTGCCGACTAGACCAAGATGTGTTTGACACCATTTTGTGTACACTTCCATATCATATTCACCTTTCTTATCATGAACAACACCGATGTTCATATATGAATCGTCTACACTTGGGTGATTGGTAGGAAGAATCTTGTTGTTGTAGATACCATCAACAGGTTTATGGTTTACACCATAACACTTCAGATAGTGAACTATTCACTTTCCACTCCATCATTCAACCACACTGATTCCATCACTCGCTCACTACCATCCGTCTCTTCGCACTTCACCTTCCACTTGCAGTGTCAGTGGGACATGATGTACACGAACGGCATGAATATTGACAAGGCTTTCTCATAGTTCTGTAGTACTGATTCATTATCACCCATCTTCCGATGAACTTCACCAATGCTGTTGTAACTATATCCAATACTTTCATGATCTGGTGCTAGTATGTGGCGTTTGAGTGCGAGGAATCTGTTGTGATGTTCAAGGAACAAGGTGTAATCACCTTTGTCATCAGCAATCATGCCAAGTGCGATGTGTTCATGTGTCCTGCAACCGTTCACAATCAACAGTGGTCGCTACTAGCATCGTCTTCTCATTCCCACTCCACATTCCCACTTGGCAATATCAGTCATGCTCGATAGTTGAATACTTCACTACATGGTAACAGCCTGCCTCTTCTGGATCATTCTGTGGCAATTCAAGAAGTCCTCGTTGAATACATGTTTCAGCCTTCTCATACTCACCCATCCTCTGCAACGAACATCTAAGTGAATAGAATGTCACTTCACCTCTTCCAATTTCCTTCTTCATACGATACATCATCTTCTTCATCTCCTCATCAGCTTGACTGCACAGCACCAACCTCACCATCCATCCACACACCACCATCACGATCCACTTTCTCAATTCGAAACACAGCACCGAGAATGAACAATACTTCACCTTCGTCATCATAATAACTCATATGTGAGATGGAAGCAAATGGTGCAGTCTGCAGACGAGTGTCAGCTTCGATCACAAATAACACTTTCTCCGCATCATGCGCGACAGTGTGAATGAAAGTGACAGCTGTCTCTCGATCAACACTTGTCGACAAGAAAGAGTGCATCGGGATCAATTCACCCACACTCTCACTTATCTTGTCCACTTCTTGTTTTGTCATGCCCTGACCGTGATAGACTGTGATGAGGAGTGCTGCTTGTCCTGTTCTCGCTGAAGTTGCTTGTGGATGTCAGTGATGAGAAAACGAAATGATATCAGAATGTCGATGTCTTGTGGGCCTGATCCTGTATAACGTAGTTCCCACCTGATGCTGCACCTTAAACAAAAAGCACTCGCGAGTGTACCACCACGCAGCACTCGACCGCGAATAGCCCTCTGCGAACTCACGAAGAGCTTCGAGCTCAGTTTCATTTCCATTGTAATTCTTTTTGCAAATGTCGATGAGTTAGTTGATCTCCGGATGTGTCTGAGTGTGTCATGCGCAGAAAGATGTCGATGAGCAGCTGAAACCACATGAAGGATGCGTTGAGATCACTGTGCGATTCTTCTCGACTGAATACCTCAATGACTGCAGTTTCTTCTGCCTTCTCTCGTTTCACTTGATCGGCACTGATTCTGGTGACCAGATCGGTCTTCTTCACAATCACACCTTTGACCTGCAACATGAACGATAGTCATAAATCATCAAACGCAGTGTATAGAGTGTGCTCACTTTTGTATAGTGTTGTGACCATTTCTTGCTGCTCTCTTCATCCATGCAGTACACATAATCTGACGGAGATCATGCACTTCCGGCACTATTTCACACCCCAGTCGACCAGAGACTGTTAACACCACTTTCTCATCTTTCATCTCTCGAATATGGTGTTCACACTCATCGACAACTTCAAACGTCTGCAAACAGTTGATGACACCTCTCAGTTTGAGTTGTGTGTCGAAATTATCTTGAGTCGCATCGACATCGGCATCGGGCCATAGCAGAGTAAATGTCTCGAGATTGCGTGTTTTTGATCGGGATGTCGTGTTTCCTGTTGAATGAGCAGATTTGCTTATGTAAGCCGCAGCCATGAGTGGTGTGACGTATGATTCACCTAAGTGGAAGAAGTTTAATGCTGATGAAAGCAGGCGTGGTTTAGCATTACATTCGTTAAATTTATTTTGCCTGTGTAGAGCCTCTACGGTGTGTCACTCGTTTTGTCTAATAAAATGTACTGTAATATGGGAAAGTCATATTAGCTTTTCATATATCTACACAAAGCAGCTGGACGATTTTCGAAGCACAATAATGGTAGTGTTGGTTCTAAGATGTAAAAAAACTCAAGCATAACAAAACAGCTACCCACCCGCTCTTCACTGTAGAAAGTAAAGATTAAAATAGTTTAAAGGTAGAAGTCTTCCTAGTTTGTTTGTCTTTTTTCTTTCTGTTCGCGTGCTGACTGTCAACGTTTGTGCACCGCTCATGCTTGTAAAGATTGTGAAAGGAAGAGAAACTGAATGTGTGTTTAGTTTTGCTTGACAACCGTCACCATCAAGGGGAAGTAACCTCCAATTTTGCTGCACACACTTCGAAGTGACATTTCATCACCTTAGAGTGTCACTTCGTCACTTAAAGTGACGCAGTGGCACAGTTATCCACCTGCTCCAATCCACTCTGTTAAGTAGACTAATTTGTGCGAAGCTCCTTATGTATGAATATGCAAAAAAAGAAGTAATAGTATTTTATATGGAGGATCTGCTAGAAAATCGATAAATATTATTTTCCTCCAAACTCGCTTACACACGAGTCGAGTCAAGATTTGCTGTGTGTGATGGTGAATTGTGAAAAGACAGTTTTTGATGATTTTCTCGGTGAACAAAGGTTTCACCTATCTGCTGTTGATAATTTTGGCGTTGTCAAATTCCAGTTGTAAGTCAAATTCAGAATCCTCATACATCAGGCAATTTGAAATCAGTTGTCGTTTAACCTTTTCGTTTATCCACATTTGTAATTGATAATATTTAGCGTCATACTTGTTTTGTACTAAACAGGTGTGATATCATTCATCTGATTGTAAATGTAATGGTGGATCCAATGGTTTACTATATTCATATGCACTAGTGTCATTGAACAGTTTAATTAACAGTTTAAAACAGTTAGTTGGATCAGTGTGTAAAACACAAATTGTACGAGAATCTAGAAAGAAAAAGAAAAAAATATATTCATCATTGAGTTTGATTCACTCAACTAACAGTTTTTGAGATCGTAAGTAGAATTTTACACAGATCGAAACTCGAACTAATGAAAGTTAATGCCGCACTCTGACTTTTATAACAAAAATGTCTCAGGCTGCAAATACCTTCGAAGTGGCGTTTTTTGGGTAGAAAAACCTAAAAATCTTCATCTCTGTTGAATTATTTTGATCTCAAACAGTGGAAAAGGCGATTACAAAAGTTTACAGTTTTGAGGCGGCTCGAAATACGGTACTATAGAGCAACTCTCGCGCCTAGCTTCTTCTTCAACTGTTGTTACCTGTTTCTGACAGCGGTTATCTCAAGACAGTCGGTGAATCTATAATTTCAGTTTCTCAAGGTTTTACCGAGTTTTGTTTCTCTCTGTTCATCTTTTGGAGAAAAAAGACCATCATAATTAATGGCAAACATTTGTTTAGCACTCACCCTTTTCCTCCTATTATTGATGAAGAAAAGTTCGCCTTTTCTAATTTTCTGCACTGCTTCTCATAGCGCATAGATTTACGAGAAAAGGGGCTTGCTCTTCCTACTCTATAACGAGTTCATATAGTTTCTGTACTTCGTATAAACCGGATGCAATTCTTGATATCGGCTGAATATTCATTACAATTATCTATAAACAGCTCATTTAGCTCAGAAATATGAAGTTCATTCATTAGTTGATGGAATCTACGTTTTACCTGATAGGTTTGAGGTATGGAGATCACTAAGTTTTCCATGGAACTTGATGAGCCGAGTTTTCTATGACTGTAATATCACTATCATCCTGCTGATGTTATTACTTTAAAGCATCTTTTCTGACTTCATTTTGTTTCTGAATGCGTGAATAATCCCTCATCAGACAATTATGCTTACGCATTTTCACATAGCCAGGCGACCATTACTAGTGCCGTTTTCTATCGTTACAGCAAAAACCGTTTTTCATTTTTTCACACTATAACGGTTGAAAGTCACACTCTGATAAATGTGTACGCAATTGTTCCAAATTACTTCGATCAATTAACTGTTGAGGCGCTGTAACGCTATACGTGATAGTGGCAATAAGTGTGTTGTGGGAGCTTATGTCCGAAGTCAGTAAGGTATATGTCTGATATAGTTGAAGTAATTTTTTCCGGACCAACTTTTCGAGAAGAATCGATTGGCGTTCTCAAAATTTTATGAAAATGTGTCCTTTATGCGAAAACCATGATACCGTTTTGGATACCGTCGTTGGATAACTCGTTGTAACGCATTAATATCTATCGTGTTACACCGAGTTCCATTGTCTTAGCTCATTGCAATGAGATAGAAAAGAATAATGCATTGTAATCTATTAGATATTAACTCCTTACAATACAATGAGTTGTAACGCTATACAAGTTTTTCCAAATTTATGACATTATAATTATATAAAACATCTAACGAATTATAAGGCATTAATTTCTAGCGCATTATATTAAAGTATAAAACTCAAACGCGTTATAATACAGTAGAATGTAACGTATTATAAGACGGTAGACAAATGTAATTGCGTTGTAACGAGATAAAAATTGAAACGCATTATAATGCTATAAATTTATAGAGTTCTAATGCAATGAAAGTTTTTATCCACTTACAACGCCATAAATTCCTGAAAAATAACTTTGCAACGCATTATGACACGACGGGCTACGTTTATCGCGTTGCAATGAGATAAATCTATAACGTTGTAATACCATAATTTTAAAAAAAGCATGTTTTATAGCTTTATAACGCTATAAATAGGAAAAAAAGATCCTGTGGTATTGACATCAGCAAGAGTGAATTTCTCATAAAATCGGACATTAGCAAATCTTGACAATAAAAAATGAACGTTCACATTTTGGAGAGATGTATTTAGTAGTTTTAAAAATAATATAGTAAAAACAGCTGTACCAATGAAGAAAAAAAAATGGATAAAGACACTGATTTTATCATCCTTCACATTTTTAATGCGTCACTGATATATGATCAGGATGAGTCGTAACACGTCTTCTAATATATTTCTTTTGACAAGATCTGGATATCTATCATCACGCACTGTGGGTACTAAACAGATAAATAATTAGTCATTTTATTCGACTGTGACCTACTACTCTTACATGAATATCTCCATATTCTGATAGGTATGATGGTAAATGCTTTTCTCTTGTAGGAATGAAAAAGAACAGGTCAATATTATTCATTAATTAATATATATGCAAAACAGAATAATACTAGACATTTAGCTTCATTTAGAGATCTTTTACGTATCATTGTTGAATTGAGTCATATGTAACGCCAACAGAACGTTAAGAAAAAGAAAAAAAAGCAACAACATCATAATATTTGACAATGGTGGAAAGAACGATCGAAGAAAAAATGGAGAGAATATGTCATTCACGTCTAAAATAAAGAAAAATACTCTAAGTATACATCTAGCAATTTGATATAAAGTTTACGCGAACGAAGACAGACAGACGGTGAATGAGAACACAGATGATATTCTCCTTTTAATATTTGCGTTATTTATTCGTCTTTCAGAGTATAATCACTCGATATATTTGTTTCTTCATTACTATTCCTCGAAGACAATTTCATAGAAATCATTATACTGAGTACTTACTTGAAACTTGCACTCACACATATGAAAAATAATTCCGACAAATGTAAGACATTCAGGAGTACAATCGAGTCTTTATAGCGTCTGTTGAATGTCACAGTCCCATTTTATTTTGATAATACCGTTTCTACTTGTCACAAACGTATTTATGGTTGTCCACCGAACTAGTCAAGAGACAAATGGTACATTAACAATATTGTCATCATCATCGAAAACAGCAGAGCCTTTTTCTAGAATAAATTCTACTATACAATCATATGATTCGTACACAGTGGAAACGTGGCTTTATTCAATTGGTGGTGCAGGTGTTGTGGGTCTAACTGGAATATTGCCAATACTTTTCTTACCAAATATTGAACACGGTTATCAATCAAAAAAACGTAAGACTCATTTCGGATTTTTATTCTTATTGGTTTTTTAAGTTATACTTTTTGTTTCAGAGAAGAATCCTGTGTTTGTACTACTATTGAGTGTTGCTGTCGGAAGTCTGTTAGGAGACGTTTTTTTACATTTGTTGCCTGAAACATGGTCACGCGTTGGAACAGATAAATGGTCAACAATTATTATCGGTGTGTCGCTGTTGAGTGGATTTCTATTTTTTATGTTAATTGAAAAAATATTTCCTGATGCTAGTGATCAACAAGAAGCCGATGAAGAAAATGTATTTTCACATAAAAGAGATGAACCGCGCGTTGATCAAACGTTAAGAAAAAGACAAACAACGAAACAGGTATGCAAATGCATTGTAGAGAAGAAATTCTTACAAAGTCAAAAATAATAGGAGTGTATTTCTCACAATAAACGAACCAGATCATGCGCTGATCAGTTTTTGTGAGTGGAATTCATCTGTCTTACCAAAGCGAACATCATAATGTCATATAGTTTTGGAATTGATTTGAATTCTAAACTTTATGCTGACTAGAATGAACGAAAAAAATTTATTACCAGAAATAGCCTTTTGCTCATTTGACATTTTTGTTACAAAATTTGTTTATTGAAAAAGAGTTCTCTCTTTCCAAATATTGTCTAATTTGTCCTATTGATGTAGTTTAATCCTGGTTAGATCACCTATCAATTTGGGAAAATATTCACAATAATACGGAAAAATGAAAAAAAGTAGTGAAAAAAAACGGGGGTCTCACAGATCCATTTTTCCGGTTTGCTCTTGAACAAGTTAGAAGTAGTAAACCTCACATAATATAGGCAAATTTCATCTTTCTGTTCCGTTGGCCTTAGGAGTGCATCATTTTCTTTTTCGTATTTTTCACAAATTCACAATAAATGGTTTGCACTTTCGTAAAAACGAGTTACAACGTTTTTTTAAAACGGCAGTTTTGTAGAGAAAACATTTCTTTACAAGATGGTTTATAGTAGTTTTAAAATTTTTTTTGGTTTCTTTAAAAAGCGTTTTTAATAGAGAGACGTATTGGTTAAAAACTGCGGTTATAACCGACCGTAGGTTTGAGGAAAACGCTTTCTAAAGGGAAAAATAGAACTTCTAGAATACCTTTTGTATACTATCTTGTAAAGAAATGTTCTTTGTACAAAACTGCCATTTTAAGAATATGTTCTAACTCGTTTTTACGAAAATACAAACTATTTATTATGAATTTTTGAAAAATACGAAAAAAAACCAATGTACTCCTAGTCCGTCTTGTTTCTTTTCATCCATCCTATTTTAAGACGCTTGCTACTGCCGCTCTTCCATTTTACTTTTATAATTCATGAAAAAATCATTCATTTCTTATGCATTTGTTAGTTGTATAAAAAGAACAATGATCTGTTCGAAAACCTTGTCAACTTATTTTGGTTTCTTACTAAAACTGTTGGAATGTTCAGTACTTTAGGTGCTGTCGTAGTCCTTCAGCAGGATGTTGAAAGCAAAATAGATAAATTTGCTTTTCTTAAAACAAGGCGACATCAGTCATGAACTAAATATGGTAAAAGCTCATTCCAACACTCCTAGGCGCAGCCATACAGTTTTCATTATCAGTAGTATGTATTTATTCTTTCTATGAGAGTAATATGAGTTACATGAGATAATGAGAACTGTATAGCTGCGCCTAGGAGTGTTGGAATGAGCTCAAACTTTTATCATATTTAGTTCATGACTATCTCTTTAGATGCTCAAAATATCAGCTCTATCGAAGCTTTCATTTCGGAGCACACTCGCACGTAATAATGGCAAATTTCGAAAAACTTTCAAAATTTTCGACTATGGAAGCCGTTCAGTGATATTGCTCAAACTTTCAGTGAAACATGGCCACTATGACTAGTGGTCACAGTAAAAATATCACGCCTATCGGACTTTGTTTGACTGAGAAATCAAAGATTTAGGGTCAAAACCGTGTTTTTCGACCAAAACTTGAAATAGATATTTCACCACTCACTGAGGTCTACAAGATGCAAGTAGTCCAAGTTCAAAAGCGATTTATAACCTCGTAAGATCGATTGGTTTAGACGAGTAAGACTTTCTGAATTTTCGATGAGATTAGTCCAAAATGGGTTATTCATCTAATTTGCGTTTAGACGAGGTAGACAGCTTTTTATTCAAAAAGACACATTGGTACGAGATTCACCATAACTGATAACTTACATTTCCATTCGTTCACAAGGTTATCGGATAAAAGTTTAAGGCAGTCCAGTGCTTACAGACCCAATGGTTTGTTCGAATTCCCAAATCATGACCGATAGCCATCTCAGTCTTGCTTGCATTTGTAGAGGGCACAGTAGGCTACCAGTTACACACTTTTAACATAGAGTTCGCCACGACAACTTTTTCGTCTGGACTTCACTCTTTTAAAGACTTTTGAGGTACAACATCTGAAAACCGGTTTTCCAACATCCATCGAATGATGATGATGCGGTCAGATCTTCGATACAGATTAATGAAAACTACAAGTCTCTATCGCTTTTCGTTCTCGAGGTATTCGTAAAATCGCCATGTTTTAGTGTTGATAGTAATTGTATACTCTCTTTTTTCGAAAACTGTAAACAGAAGATACGTTAGTTCTTCAGAGTGTGCTGTACACTCTGCATTTGTTGTATATAGTCTAGATGAAGCCAAGAGATTCTAAACAAAATGCTCAGATCTCTTCAAAATATTAAACATTCAGAATAAACGCAAGCGATACAAACAGAAAATCTGGGTGAAAAGGGTCTTCTTAATCATTTAATTTTATCTATTGCCTAATCTTGTTTTTTTCTGTATCTCACTTGTTTCCCTACTGGTAATTGGAACAGTAGGATTTCAAATCATCCTGGCTTTTTTCTCTAATATCCACTTTCGATGCTCCAAGAAGCTAGAGCTGATCTGCTATGGCACCTAAGTGTACACATAGGTCAGTTATTCAAAAAGCGAAAGCAAATCGAATTAACAATGCAAAATCGTCTCCTTTTCGGACATTTTAAGATGTTCCTTACAGCAGTGTGCTATTAATGACTTAGATAGAGGCTCTTTATGGCTACTACTTCTGTCTTCGTTAATATGGTGTTTCTGTTGCACCTCTGTAAGACTTTTTGTAATGTACAGACAAACGTATTTTTCTGGTTTTCCTCTACTTATAGTCTCTGACTTCGTTAGTTATAGTTATACGAGGAAATTTGTTCCCTGACAAAAAGTTCGTTAGAAACAAGGTTTCACTACAGAATTTTTTATAATGATCTTGCAACGTAAAAACTCAAATTTTGTTCGTGATGAAACTCAAATTTGGTACTCAACGATATCTAATTTTGTTTCTTGAATATGTTTTTTAGGTGGAAAAAATTACCAAAATCGAGAATGACATATTGCCGGTTTGTAAAAGTTATTTCGTTCAAGGAAAATCGATAGTCAAGTTTTCATCTCCTTCATTTAGAATGGACTCATACACAGAAAAGAAAATTCAATAAAGAAAACGATCAGAGTTCGTTGTTATCTATTTCTCTAATAAATACACTACTCTACTAATAAGTCTGTTGATTGTTTAGACAACTGGCTGGTTGAATCTATTAGCAAACATGATCGATAATTTCACACATGGACTAGCTATCGGAGGAAGTTTTGCTTTTAGCAACAAAGTAAGTAGATATATGAAAATGATATTGTGTTGAATATAATGGAACTTTTTAGGTTGGATACACAACCTTAGTTAGTGTCATTATCCATGAAATTCCTCACGAACTAGGTGATTTTGCCATATTATTGAAAGCCGGCTTCACAAGATGGGATGCTGCTAAAGCTCAAGTAAAATAGGATGCATACGACGGATGCTTTATCAAAATATGAGATTATTTTAGATCTTGACGGCAACCTCGGGAATATTCGGTGCTTTATTTGCATTGTACTCAAGTTCAATCGTTGATGCTGGTATGAAACGGAATACGATTTTTCCTATAAGACACCGCATATAAGAGTTAGATATTTTTCAGGTGCTCGAACAGTGTATGTTCTTCCATTTACATCTGGTGGATTTTTGTTTGTTGCACTAGTTAAAACGGTACCAGATTTATTGGAAAACATATCTTTACGGTACGACAGACAGGTCGTCTTTAGTCATCATATCTCTAAATGATGTATACGTGTTTAGTGACACATTCTTACATGTCATTGGTATTATGGTTGGTTTATCGACAATGGCTGCGGTTGTCTACTTTTTTGATTAAAATATTTATGTTTTTATTTTATTTCGTGTGGTCTCTAGTCGTTCATCTGAAAACCAAGCTTCTCTTTCATCAAACATAACTTGATTATATTTTTGTTTTTATCAAAAATTTCTTTCATTGCCTTTCATAATTATTGTGTTAGAAAGGTCTTTTTGTAGATAGATATGTAGAAATATCATACAGAGAATTAATAATAAATAATATGCAAACTATCGACATTTTAAACTATTTTCATATTAAAATTTATTTTATTTTTGGTATTAAATTTTTACAATAAAGCAATCGATAATCGACTCTAAAGTGCGTCTAACTGAAATTTTTTTGCTTTTCTACAATTTTATGATTCTGCCTTTGGGCTAATTTGTGCTTTAAGGACGATTGTAGGCATTTAGCACTTTTCCTAGACATCAATTCTTATAAAACGAATCTTACCAGAAACGTCTAAGTCTCTTATCAGTGTCTTACATGATTCTTATAGGAATCTTATCAGTTTCTTATATAAGATTGTTTAAGATTTCCTATGAACAGTCGTAAGTGTCTTATAAGATTTTCATAAGAGATTTGTAAGAAATTCATAAGAGGTACCAAAAATTTTTATGAAGTTTTCCACCAACAAACGCAACTTAAGGAGGGGCCCCCACCCATTTTTTTCTAATCAGTTTGTAGAGGACACCGCGAAGTATATGTCCCAACAAAGCTTTCGGTTCCCGGATTTATAGTTTTTGATTAAAAAAATGTTTTTATCTAGTTTTTTGTTTACATCTACATCTTACTAGATCGACTGTATAGATTTCAAAATCTAGAGAAAGATGAGACTTCGGTTTGATGATCTAATAACAATCGGTTCTGATGATACATTCAATCTCAGATATTTACCGCGCACTCACCCTCAATAAGCATTAAACAGAAAATGCCAGGAGCCGAAGTTCCACTTTTCTCGATTTTGAAATGTATACAGTCGGTAGTAAAATGTAAATGAAATGATACGTTAAACGAGCTAAATTTAGTTTTGATATAGTCAACTATCCAAAGTTGAGAGAAATTTTCGTTGCTGACGAAGTTGTGTTTAATCTAATAGGTATAGTGATAGCATTTTTTAATAACTACAGCATATCAATGAAATTTAAATGTGCAGAAAAACAGTTAGTTATTTACTATATAGTATAAAAATTATTAAATTAAAAAACTCCAAATATCACAGTCAAAATATAAAATTTAGTCGGAGCAAGATTCAAGTACTAAATCGAATGTACCAGTTAAATAATTGACGTTGGAATTAACGCTTCTAGTACTTGTAATTTGTTTCAATGTTATTGTTGTTTTCTCGTTGATATGTCCATCTAAGATAGAAAGAAAAAGAGAACAAATACTTCCACCATCCTGAACTGTTTTTCTTTTTGGTACAGATTTTCAATGAAATATTATGCAAAAGCAAATGTTTTCTTACCAATATCATTTTTTTCTTCACCATGAAAGTAGAGCTGTGTCACCAACGGTTTATATCCATGCGATTGTACATAGTAATGAATATGTGGACATCTCCAAGTTGAATCATCTGTATCGAAATATGGTACAGGTTTAACAGTTTCAAATTCATATCGTCCACCTTCATCTGTTACTAATCTTGCACGATAATCATAGTTTGTAGATCGACCATGCGTATTTAGTTCTTCACGATATGGATAAATTTTGGTAGGATCAGCTTCTTGATAATCATACACAGCTTCAGGTGATGTATGCCAGATATCAACTACAGCAAATGGAAGTCCTTTCTTCGTGTCTAAACCAAATACTCGACCAGATATCATTAGCGGAATACCGATGGCGTCAATTGGAGAAATTTTTGCACGGAACGGTGCATTCATTACATAAAATGGACCCCAAACTAAAAAGAGGAAGAAATCTCAGCTATAAAGGAGTAATATTTAGCTCATCTTACCATCTTTTGGTGTTGCTTCCAACTGATTTGTTGTCTCATTGTTAAGTTCTTTGTCGTCAGACTTATTATTGTAAACTTGCGCAAGAGAATTGGACACAACAGATTCCATGAACGTTATGATCTTTATTAAGAAGTTTTAGATGTAAAAGAAGTCAACATGACATACTATTTTTCTTTCTATTTTACTCGTATTTAGTCAACGAATGGTGTATATGAAGCAAATGCGTATACATATATATATGATAAGAAGAGGTAGAAAATGAGTTGTTTGAAAGTTAAGAGTAGTGTAACTCTGAAACTGAAGGAAAATGACACATCACCATTTGTTAACAGTAACAAACTTTATCAAGTCGCCTTATCAAATGGGTGCAATAAACCCATTTTTTTTTCACTTCTTCAAATGTTCGTGACATAGCAATAATTCCATAACACGATATTACCGCGAATTTTTTGTAATACACATTTGGGCTTTGGGCAGTGCGTGGTGAGCAGTAGGTAGTGTGAGAGTGAGTTCCAAAAGTAGTTTACACAGAACATTTTTTTTTTATGTCATTTGAATTTTCTTGAGGTTCAAGTACTTATCTGATATCTAACTACTAGTAGTTGAAGATAAAGCTGTAATAAAATTTTAATAACGGCTAGATTCACTACACACTGCAGGAAATACGCAAATGTGTACCATAAAAAATTCGGGGTGACGTCGTTTGCAGTAATGTCGTTCACGGACGATAGGTTTTCGAGACACCTGATAAAACAGGAAAATAATTTAGATGCCTGCCATACTGTTAAAAGCGCTATTGAGTTCCTGGATTCATTGAGTTCATTGGAAATCTGGTCTCTAACGATGCATCATTTTATTTGAGTTCTAGAACGGAACTTTTGAAATTAGTTGATGATAAATAAAGCAATATTTTGATTAGATTTTAGGTAAATTATACGTTTTACAAAAATACTGCCATTTTGCAAAGGCGGTAATGTTCTCTGAAATGTCAAAGGAAAATAATCTAATTTGTGGATGAAAATATACGAGTTTGTATTCTCTTTCCAGCTAGTATTATGTAAACGATTGTAAGATTGAATAAGATCGAAAATTTCAGATCTTATCACCCTCCAAACGCGTAATAACCACAGCCTGTGACCTCACAGCGACCATATTCTACATGATTTTTATAGGGGTTACAGGTGGATGCGTTTACATATGTTTGATATAACTACATAATGCACACAACCAAATATTCTCGGCTTTCCGTCGTTTATAAAGTGAATGGAACTTCTGATGCCACCTTCTAGCTATGTGAAAGAGTGAAAGAAACAATCATACCAGTAGTATGATTGATTTAATACGGTAAACTAGTGTTCAAAGATACTTTGTGGTTCGAAGAGGTGAAGCTATAATTTTGCACACTACTGTATATGAATAATCAGCTGGAAAACACTTGCAGTGTAGTTCTAAACTTACGCATGGACAAATAAAATTAAAGAGAAACGAAAAGAGATAACATATGGAGTCGAAATAGATTTGGTTGGAGACTTTTTGCTGACGAATTAAAGAAAAATCTTTTTTGCAAGTTACTTATTAGCAGCATAAGGACATGACTAATTCGAAAATATCTCTGCTCAGGTCTTTTTCGTTACCGAGATAAGAGGCATTATTTCCTAAAAACTGGCTCTTATTTATTGCTTCAAGGCAAGATTTTTTGGTGAAATTGATTATTTAGGCAGCTGTAGCTTTGTACTTAGATTCTCTGGCAGTTGTAATTTTATAAAAACGTCTTCCGTGAGCGACGAGAGCGCGCAAATTTTCCAAATTTTGGACTTTTTCTACTTTTAACCATGTCGGACTTCCGATTTTTTTACGATTTGTACCAATGAAAAGTAAGCTCTCATCTAGCAACATGTCTCTATACTGTACTCGAGCTACTTATGATTATTTTATTCATAAAGGTATGATTATAAGTAGCCGGCAGGAAAGGTAGTTATTTTACGGATAATACCGCCTATCTTGGTAACGGAAAGGACCTAAGCAGAGATATTTTCGAATTAGTCATGTCCTTATGCTAATAAGTAACTTGCAAAAAAGATTTTTCTTCAACTCGTCTGCAAAAAGTCTCCAGCCAAATCTATTTCGACTCCATATGAGATCGAACTAAAAACGAAACGGAGATACACCTCATTTTTTCTTGTTCCTTACGTTATTGGCTTTACTTAAAAATCCTTCAGGATATAACGGGTGGCCCATAAATAATTGCGCTGTCAGTATTTTCAAAATTTTTCCTTATCTGTACACTTAATTGAGCCAGATTTTTTACCAAAAGATTTCCCGTTGAATTCTCTGCAAAAAAGTGTATTAACTATTTTGTTGCAAAATCCGACGGTGCAAAATGCCATGAGAAATTGTGAGAAATTTCAAAATGTAGAATAATAAACGTATTTTCTCAAAGTAAGCAAAAGTTTTTCGAATGGTTTTGCAAGCATTAAAACACGATTTCAGCATATTTTTATGTAGTTTCAAATACGCTATTTTTCGTCGTGTTGAGCGAAAATCGTTTGAATCTAAATATCTGACGCAAAGATTAACTTCTCAGCAATCAAATGGAAATAGTAAAAGTTGTTACTTTTTTTTTGCGCGGTGGGACAAAACAATTTTTTTTTCCAAATCTTAGAGATGCGATCATAATGACTAATCGTTTGTTTTCAGAATTAAAAAACCAACCTGAATGGATCAAATTTGACTAAGCTTTATTTATTTTATCGGAAGGCCAAAATTATTCGTAAAACGTCGTCATTTTTTGAAAAATTAGCAAAAATTAATCGAATTCTTGCGCCCTCATTTCCAACTGAAAACTGTTTAAATTATAGATGGAAAATAGAGCTTTTCGAGGAGTACACGGTGGCTACTTCAGCTATCCTCTCTAACAAACTTTTAGCAGATAATATTAAAATGAAACTATAACTACGTTTATTTTTTCTACAGTTTGGTACTTCTCACAATTTCTCATGGCATTTTGCACCTTTGAATTTTGCAAGAAAATAGTTAATAGATTTTTTGTAGAGAATTCAATGGAGGATTTTTTGGTAAAAAATCTAGCTCAATCATGTGTAAGAATAAGGAGAAATTTTGAAAATATTAACAGCACAATTCTTTATGAGCTGAATGGTCAGTGCCGTTAAATTGAGGAGACTTTTCTAACGCAGATATACTCTAAAACCGTCTCAGCGAGTACTACGACATGAACACTTTGATTCAAATTCAGAATCACATCTATTTAACGCAACTGCTTTTTCGCTGCATAAAAATAAGAGCTGTGTTTGCTCGAATTTCAGAAATTGAGATCAACTCCGAATACTAGCATAAATCTCTAAGATAAAACTGAGATTATCTTGTAGTTTTGGTAGCACTTCTTCTGTGTTCAAAATCATGCATTTATTTCATTTCTGAATTGAGAAAAGATGTTTCTCGTTTTGAGACAAGCAACTCTTGAGGAACAATAAAAGACTTAATCTCGCCACGTTCAATGGATAAGTGTGTTTCATGCCTAAGGAGGCATCTTAATTGGTGTGCGCGCAGCAAGGGGGAAACAGCGGACTCCAATCTCTTGGATTCCCTTGGAGTCCCATGGAGTCCCACGGAGTCCCAGTAGAAACGCCGTTCAGGTTCTTCAAGTGATTTACTTTTCAATGTATTTCAACAGCTTGATTGTTTTGGCACAAAAAAAGATGTTTCCTGTAGTTTTTAATTCGTGGTTCAATGTGATTTGTGACAACACTCGCTGTTCAGTGTGAAATTTTTTCGTTGTCAATAGAGATATTATGATTCAATTTCTAAACTATTTATCTGATGATGCCGGTCTCGAAGCGATAATGTGTAATGCTCGATTCTGTTAACAAATGAGAACATACTTCGGTTGGTGATATATCAGTTTTGTCGTTTATTTCCTGCTTTCAAATGATTTAAAGTTGATGTTGAGCTTCTAGCATTGTCTTATCTTGTTTGAAAGAAGAACATGTCTCACTGTCTTACAGATTGTTTAATTAGACCTATTGTTTTCAATCGCTAAACCTTCAATAAACTCAGCGTCATAGCAGATAAACAAGAAAGGACGACGAAGCAACGCTTTACTGTTTACTAGTCATCTGCATCGCTCGAGATAATTGACCGTTAGATAGTCGGTAATTATCATTTCTGCAGCAGTGTTCAAATTTCCAAAACGGGAATTATCTCCGACAATAGGAGAATTTATAGAAATTTCGGTAATTTCCATTATTTATTAAACACAGATACTCACTAGATTTCGGACCCCTATACCCGACAATAGGAGAATTTATAGAAATCTAGGTAATTACTGGGAAATTTCTGAAATTTCTATCATTTATTAGACAGAGATATCCACTGGAATTGGGACCCCTATCTGCGACAATAGGAGAATTTACAGGAATCTCGGTAATTACTCGGAAATTTTGGTAATTACGGAGAAATTACTGAAATTTGTGTTACTTATTAGACAGAGATATCCACTAGAATTGGGAGCCGTATCTGCGACAATAGGAGAATTTATAGACATTTCGGTAATTTGGAGAAAATTTTGGTAATTACGGAGAAATTACTGAAATGTCTATCGTTTATTAGACAGAGATATGCATCAGAATAGGCACCGCTATCTTGGAAAATAAGAGAACTTTTAGAAATTTCGGTAATGTCAAGGAAATTTTGGTAATTACGGGGAAATGTCTCAAATTTCTATCATTTATTAGACCGAGCTGTTCATTAGAATTGGGACCCGTGTCTCCGACAATAGGAGAATTTATAGAAATGTCCGGATTGGATGACGATGATAAGTGGCGATGCGGTCCTATCTTGTGTGCGTCTGTGAATGGAAATCTCAAGCTTTCGAAATTTTTATTAGTAAAAAATCAGACGAGAAAAGTCAGTGTGGGGTGCTAAAGCGCTTTCGAATTTCTTCTTCAGTAGCAAATAAGTAAGGCACACACGAGGAATAGTATCATATATATAAAAGAAGAGTAGTAGAAAAATTCAGTATATAGGATGATGAATCATGTGTTCCATAAAATAGAGAAACAAAACTAAAAAGTAATAAAAATGAGAGACAC